TTTTTTCGAAGATATTGAGTGATTTTTCGTAAAATTCAAGTGCTTTCGAGTGTTCGCCCATGTTATCATTCACCAAGCCGATGTTGTTGTACGAAGTAGCCAAGCAGGGAGGATTCGGAGGAAGAGTTTTTGATCGATGTTAAGATCTTTTTCGTAAAACTCAACCGCCTTTTCATATTCTCCGTGCTCATGCTTGATCATCCCAAGTTGGTTATAATAGTAAGATTTATTGCTCTCGTCGGATGCTTGCTCGAGTAACATTATATAGATTTTTTCAGCCTTGTCAGTCTCTCCTAGTTTTCGTAACAACCAACCAATTTAGTCCCACCCTGTTCCAGTAATCTCCTCTCGCATGTGTTTGATAAGAGTACTGAGTTGCTGGTCTTCTTTGTCACTGGTGAGTGTAAGTGTCACTTCCCACAATGTTATTCCACTATCTTTAGTTTCTTTGATTTGCCGAACGCGAAAAACCGTGTGCATTGAAAAGAGAATTTCATTTTCTGTGTTGAAAAAACTAAATTTTTGAATGCGAGCGAAAGCAGCCGATGAAATCGATCGATCAATTGTCATTTTGAATAAAATGCCGATTTTGTTATTATTGGACGCGAGCCCTTCCTTAATAAATTGAATGGCCACCTTGAGCTCGTCAGTTGTTGAGGGGAAATTATTGAAAGAGACAAGTCCACCTTGCTTAATTTTACTGTGGAAATCTTCCTTCTTCATGGTTTTTCCGCGGTAGACTGTTATTGTCGTTGAACTAGACTTTATTTGATTTGATTGTTCCGAATGGAGTTTTTTTATATTTAGATGAAGGTCTCGAATGAAGATGCCCATTTTTAGCAGGGTCTCGACTTGTAGAGTACCCAGTGCTTTGTTCACCATGTGGTATGTGCAAAGGGGAAAAAGCAGATTTTGACAGCTAAAATCTTTGGAAATCTCTAGAAATCTTGGGGAATTTTGAAATCTTGAAATCTGCTTTTTCTCCCTTAGTTTACACTCACCACTCTTTAACTCTAGAGAGAATATTAGTGAAATTTTAGCTATAGACTGTTGTCAACGCAATTCTTTGGTGACATGTCTAAGAACTATATAAAATCGCTGAGACATGTATATGAGTACGACATAAAATACTCAGATATAATATCAATCAAACATGTGTTCCAAAAGAACAATTAAATTTTCTTAAAAGTAATACTTTTTTCAATCAACCATATTAATAGGTACCTCAAGCGGAAGATGCTCTCCAATGAAGTTCTAATGCTTTATTAGTTTTATTTTGCTCATCAATTCCAAAATCCAGTCAACATTAGTCAAAATCTTCTAATCAGGCTCTTGATTCAATGCGCCTCTACTATCCCCACGACTTCGAGACGCCTTTGAGAAAACATTCTCCGAAATTTCTACATAACATCAACGCGAAAGACATCACACATCGAGAATAATTTTTGATAAAGTTCATTCTTTTTTTTTTATTATCATTCGTAGATATTTTTATGATAAAAAAACAACCATATCTTCTTCTTTTTTACTATTTACTTTCACTTTTCGACAGAGGGAGAGAGCAGTCATGATCATGTAGCATCTAGACTTGTTTCTATTCGTCTATTAATGTTACCTGCATATATATTCATTCATTCTTCATGTTGTCGAATGAATCATATTTTTTTTTGTTATTTATTTACTTTTCATTTTGACCATTATAGATATATATGTAAAATGTCTCTCTTTCGATATAATCGTGTTCTATTATCTCATTTAATATCATCAAAACAAACAAGACTTATAACTCCAAATCATTGTTCATCAATAATAATTCGTCATGCAACAGAAATTCGTTCACGAAAACCTGTACAAAAAGACACAAATACAAAACAACGAAAAAATACTGTAAATCCCATAGCACAAGTCAAAAAATTGGGTGATAAAGCAGGCAGGATGGATTTTAATTAAATTCTTCTCATGAATTTATATGGAATACATCTATATATATTTAGCCAAGATACTTTCGGATGAAAATTTGGAAGCTATATACAATCGTTTTGATCCACTTCGTGAAGATATATCAAAAGATCCAGCTTTTCTTGATCAATTAGCAACAGTTAAAAATCCTTTACAAAATATAATTCATTTAAAAGATAATGATATTCGATTTAGGTAAAAACAAGGATATATTTCTTTGAATTATAATTTTCTTGCTGTTTTTCTTGTGTCTTAGTAATCGTATAATGAAAGCAAAAAATCGTCAAGAACGTTATAAAAAAGGTTATATTTTACTTGAAGGAAAACGTCTCATAGCTGATGCAATACAGGCCGGTGCTGATCTTTTAACAATATTTGTTACTGATCGACAAATTTTAGATGTAAATATCAAGTTGTTAAAGTTTAAACTATTTGAACTTTAAAACAATGCACTTCTATCTGGTGCAAATAGACTAATATTTTTTAAATAAGAATAAGATGTTTTCATAAACTTCAATAAAGATGATTAGAGTCTTTTGTTCAAGAACAATCCTTTACTCGTTATAGATTAGTTGATCACTTTCAATATTCTTCTAATTATGTTATCATTCTCAAAAATTCGTTTAACTTTAATGAAAATCTTCTGATTGACCTCCTAAGTTTTCGTGCAGCTAAAATTTATTTTTATCAATGAAATTGAGAGATACAAACTATAGTTTAGTTTGAGATTGAATCAAGGCATTCATTTTATTCTGAGAACAATGTAGAAATAATATGTAGTTTTTAGTCTTAAATTGAGTTAGGTCAACAAATTTTCCTGCAAAATAGGAACTTTTCATCTCATGTAGCCAGATCATTTAATTATAGGAAATGAAGTATTAATAAATATAAATTCTTTTTTTTGTTTCGGGTTTAGCAAATTGATTTTTCACCAACAGATCTCAATTTTAATGTTTATCAAATTTCATCAAGTGCATTTCGTACTTGGTCAGATGTACAAACAAGTCAAGGTGTTATGGGTATGCAAAAAACATTCAGAGAAACAATAAATTTAACTAATAAATTAAATTTTTAGCAATATTTGCAATGCCTCAACTAGATCATTGTCCATTTAAAGAACGTATAACTCTTCCAATAACTGTTATTTGTGATAATGTACGTGATCCAGGAAATATGGGAACAATAATTCGAACATGTGCTGCTGTTGGTTGTGATCGTTTAATTGTAATAAAAGGTTGTGTAGATATTTGGGATCCAAAAGTAATTCGTTCTGGTATGGGTTCCCATTTTCGTTTACCTATGATAAATGATGTTGGATGGGAAACAATTATTAATCATATACCGGAAAATAGTAAAATTTATCTTGCTGATCATAAATATTCATATGAAGAAAAAGATACAACTAATGATGATGGTCATGATGCTAATAATCGTAAGATCTTAAAATGATTAACTAACGTCGTTTTCAAAAAGAAATGAAACTGATTGTTTATTTGAATAATTTTCGATAGAAACAACAAAGAGACTTGAGATAGCGTCAGAATATCTATTTTTAAAATCTTCGTAGATAACTGAGTTGGTTTGTCAGTTGTTGGCCAATCAGATTTTAGCATACGTGGATGACCTAGGATCTTCTATATTGAATAGTGAAAACCGCAGGTCTCTATATTGTTCCTATGAAAATTTATTCAAAAAACCGTCAGACTCATTACTTTGTGAAAGCAAGAATAGTTATATATATTTTTTAAATATATTTAGCATCAAAAAAAATGTTTGAAGAAATGCTTGAAAAACGAAAACAGATGAAACGTACAAATACAGCGGAAGATCGTTCATATTTATTATCAAATAATCGTTTTTTACCATTATATAAAAATATTCCTATTGATTATCAATCATTATGGAAAGCATTTTTAAATATAAAATCAAGTGATCATTCAACAATTATTGTTGGTGGTGAAACAGAAGGTATAAGTCTTCAAGCAAGAAAACTAACAATTGAACACAATGGTAAAATGGTATATATACCATTATTAAATGATGTTGAAAGTTTAAATGTCAGTATTGCATTAAGTGTTATTTTAATTGAATTACGAAAATCTTATGAAGATATTGTTCAAAAATCATATTCAATTACAGAAAAAGATGATCATTAATGTTTTGTTATTTTGTTTTTTTCAGATAAAGTTGTTAGTTTCTTTTTTTTGTCTGTAATTGAAAAAGAATAAACAAAATTATGGGTGAAACATTAACAGATGAAGAAAAAGCAACTATTGCTCGACGTTTCATTGCCCATGCACCACCTGGTGAATTTAATGAAGTTTTTAATGGTTAGAAAATTATTAAATGAATTAATTTTAAGAAAAAACAATTTGTTTTGTCGTTATAGATGTTCGAACATTATTGAATGATGATGGATTAGTCCGGCGTTCAGTTTCTAAGTAAGGCATTTAAAGAAATTCGTTTCTGTTTATGTCAATATAATTTAGTTAAAAAATTATTATTTGTATAAAAATATAATGATTGTGTCTAAAGTACAATAATATGAACGATGAGAAAACAAACAGAGTCTCGAAGTTTGTTCAAATAAAATTAGAGCAAAGAATATGATTTCATATTTTATTTATAGTGAATGATGAAAAATGAGTACAGTAGATTGAAGCGAAGTAAAACATAATTTAAAAATTTTCATAAGAAATTCTTTTGCTTATTATAATTGTGTTATTAATGATTATCAGAGGCTATAAATCATAACGAATGGTTTTTAAAATATTCAAAAAATTTTATACAATTTCGGAAGTTAATTTAAAAAAAAAAACTATAATTTCATTTCTTGTACTTCGGCCTACAATAAAGACTTCGATATTTTCAATACATTTAATAAAGAAAGGATTTCAAGCTTGGTTATGATAGACGTATACACAATGAATAGTCAGATAGAGTCCGAAATCGGTACATGCATACTTCTGATTGTAGTTCTAAAGCTAATAGATCCTTTTTTTTAGCATCATTCTATAAAACAATTTAACCAATAAGTATTTTTGTCGCATTTCTAGAATCTCAGATTTCCCTTCCAATAACGTTATTATGCAAGTACAATAATAATATCTTTCAAGTTTTTGTTCAAATCCAGTTAATATATAAGCATCATTATTATATGAATAAGGCCTGTCACAACAGGTACAAACTATGCCTTTTATTCAGTTAACATTGTTGGCTATTTTTATTTTTTTTTTAAACTTTTGTTCAAACTATTCATAGTCATAATAATGATTTCCAAATAAATAATTTTGTATTTTAGAGCTTTTGCTGAATATAATCGAGATCAATATATTCCAACTAAAGTTCAAGGTGCAGAAGAGGAATGTCTTATAACTGATGCAAATGATTTAGGTGATGGTCGATTCTATGATCCTCGTACACGACAAAATTTTAAGTATGTATTTATTTGATTAATCAAGTATATTTTTTTTCTATATATTAATAACAACCATATTAAGATTTGATCATTTACGTCGTGAAGCATCTGAACATCAACCACATTCACCTGATGAACATTCTGAACCATGGCGTTTAGCATTTGAAAAAGAGCTTACAGATTATATTAAAGAACGTTATCCATATGGTGCTTGTACAGTTATAGGTGGAAGTGATGTGGATACAATTACATTAGCGGCTTTTATTGAAAGTCATAAATTTGAACCGAAAAATTTTTGGTATTAATAATCAAAGTTATTTCAATTATAGATTAATTTTTTGCTTTATTTATAGGAATGGACGATGGCGTTCGAAATGGTCATTAGCTTTCATCAAAGGACAAACCGAATGTGAATTAACTGGCTTGGTTAAAGCTCAAGTAAAAATTAAAAAAAATATTTAAGATTTTACCTTAAAATTGATTTTGAGTCGGGAATATTCAAGCTACGAAAAAATTTTCATGATATATTAAAATTATGATGAAATATTTAGCTCGCTACCATGATGTTATCTTGAGAGATAGTCATCCAACAAGGCTCGAGAATAGGTAATTTGCCAATTCAAAATTCTGTGAGTCTAAGTTGTTTTCTTTTGTTTAGAAGATGATGTCAAATAGAGTATGTTCGGTGAAGTTCGGATCTGAATATTATAGATCTGATGGACTTTAGTAGTCTGAGAGATGTATAGAGTGCACTAGTCATGGAATACAGAAAAAAAAGCATCTCGTATCTTCCGGACGACTATTCAATTCTGATAAGAAAATTCCATTGTGAGTATCAACTTACGGTCCGATCTCTTGGCATGCTCGTTCAAACAAAAGAAAAATTAAATATCTAGTATGAAGACCTACATAAAATTTTCGGATTATTTTTAACTCTGGTCCAATGAATATCTTACAAGAACATCATAGTATCAAGCTAAAAATTCCACCACAAGCTATCTTGAAAGTCCCACACGATTTCAACATCGCCAGTCCAAAATCATTTTTTAGAGTGCTTTAATTCATCTTCACCATTTTCAATTTAGGTGCATTATTTTGAAGATGGCAATGTACAACTAGTCAGTAGTAAAGATATAACAGAAACAATACAAATTCAAGTAACATTCATATCTTTAAAAAGATATATAAATTTGACAGAAGAAAAAAACAAACTTTTTTTTTATAGGACGAAACAACGACTGCAAAAGAAATCATTCGAATTATTCGTCAAGCTGAAGATAATTATCAAGTAAATAAAAATTTTAAAAAAATAACGAATTACTAATGTTTTTTCTTTGTTATTTAGCAAGCTGTTAATGAAAATTATCAAGTTATGTCCGATTCAACATTTAAAGCCTTACGTCGTCAATTACCAATAACAAAAGCTAAAATTGATTGGACAAAAATTACAGCTTATAAAATTGGTTCTGAACTTAAAAATGCTTAAACAAATAAATTAATTTAATATATATGGAAACATTCCACCATGGTGACAGTTCGTCTTTTTCTTTCCTGCTTTATTTGTTCATTTATAAAAAGCAAAAAAACGTTTTTTTTTCTTCGGTTCATTATACCAATGTCTTCGTTCTCTCTTTTTTTAATTTACACATCATTCTATTTGTCTCTTTTATGATTGAAATGAAAAAAAAAAAGAAATATCTTATATGATAGAAATGGCGATTTTTGTTTTTCGTGGTTATTTCAGATTTTTTATTTTTATCTTTAAAATTAAAAATGATGAATGGAGAACCTAATGATGGACAAGTATCGGATACATATATAGATAATATTATAAAACAACTTGAAATATCTGATGGATCACAAGCAACATCATGTGTTCGGTATATTTTGTATAGAAGATAATTAGAGAAGAATATTATGGTTTGTTTTTTTTTGTTAGTTCGGTTTTTGTTCGAAATGATGCTGGAACATTTTTAAGAAAACTTGATGAACGTATTAAATATTATGATAATGAAATAGAAAAATTATGTAATTTTCAATATCAAAGTTTTGTTAAATCATTTCATGAATTATTACAAGTACGAAAAGATACAACAAGTATGAAGGTAACCAATTATTTTATTTTAATTATTAATCAGTAGAGAAGAAAAAAAATACGTATGTTTTTATTTTCATAGAATGAACTTCTTAAAAATAATCAAATGATGCAAGAAGCTGGACAAAGTTTAGCAAAAAAAACTGAAGCTTTAATTAAAGAATATCATCGTCAAACTAATATACAACAAACTATTGAAGCTTTATCACAAGCATTTCCAGGTATGGTTAGAACATTTTTTTTTTGAACATTAATTAAAAATATTTCTTTTTTGTAAATTTTTAGTTTTTGAAACATATCGAAAATTACAAGAATGTATGGAAGAAAAAAAGTACGAATTTTCTTTTTATTTTTCTTTACTTGTAAAGTTTTATTAATATTTTATAATAGACTTTATCCAGCATTGAAATTACTTGAACAATTAGAAACTAAACATCTTGTTCTTGTAAAAGAACATCGTTGGTCAGAACTTATTCAACATAATATTGCAAAATTTCGTAATCAAATTCGTAATGAATCACATAATGAATTGAAAAATTTTCTTGAAAATGTTGCAACACATGCAGATAAAATTGGAAAAAGTGCTTTTGCACAAGTATGTTCAATATTTATATTTCAATAATCAGAATAAGTTATTTTTAATAGAAGAAAACCTTTTTTTTGCTAGAAGAGTCAAATTACTTGGAGTATCACTCTTGGACTTTTTCTCGACTTGGAGAAAACTATTTTGAAATTTTGTTCGTATTAAATGTAAAAAAAAAATCCATATTGTATTTGGGTTAAGTCAGTTACTTTTTTTAATCATAACAAGATTTGCTACAAACCATAGAAAAGTTAACTACAATTTTTAGTTTCAATACACATAACTTTTTTCCACATAGCTCTCAAGACTTAGACTAAAATTGATCTCACATCTTCTTTTTTCGAACTGAAATACTCTTAGATTATTACTATGCATATGAAAATATAATTTTTAAAATCGTATTCTAACAGAGTTTTTCGAGTAAAGTATCAAATGAATAGAAATGTTCTGGATAAGCTTCTTTTTGTACTCTGTACTCTGTCTGAGAAAAACTTTCCAACCCTTAGTCTACCTTACATATATCTACGAATGAATTATAAAATATATAATTAAGAAAATGTGTAGGTATTATCTATACTTCTTGAATAAATTTTGTGATAATAAAGATTTCATTCTATTAACTTCTTTTCGTTTTCTGTTTGAAATGAGATACTATAATTTAACGAAATTAATTTTTCTCTTAATATATCTCTAATTGATTTATTATTGTTTATTTCTAAGTCTAACGAAAATATATTTCATTTAGGCAGCTGCTCGTCTTGATATAGATCGACGTTATTATATATTAGAAGAAGATCGAAGAAGAGATCAACAACAACAACAGCAACAACAAACAGATGGATCAGCTGATTTAGCTTTAATAAATATGAATATAACTGAAACAATAGATTTTTCTCCCATATATAAAAGTCTTCATATAAATGTATTTCTTAATTGTAAAGAAGAATTTTCAAAGCATTATCAACGTGAAAAACAAAAACAAGCACCTGTTATTATGGATGTACCACCTAAAATGCATGAATCATTTGATGCATTTAAAAAATATTTACAACGTGTAACAGGTTTTTTTATTGTTGAAGATCATGTTATGAATACAACGGAAGGTTTAATTGATCAAAGATTTTATTATGAATTAAGTGAACGTGCAACACAACAATTATTAGCTGTACTTAGACGAGCAGTGGTTAGTTTTTTTTTCTTCAAATATTTTATTGTTTTTATCATCGATATACATCAACAGGATTTTTGTTTACAACCGATTTCTACCGACGGGGTAATTTAACGGTAGAAAAAAACAAATCTGAAATTTAGCTGCTCAATTGTTTGTTTTTTCATATGGAGAAAAAAACATACTATTTAAAATGTTTTGAATTTTTCTTTTTAGTCAACATCATATAATCCAGAATTAATGCTTGATATGAAAATTGTTGTCGTACTTTTTTGTGCTGCTATCAAAGAATCTGGTTTTCCAGTAACACCTTTATTAGATGTTTTAATGGAATTAAGGTTTGTATGAAAGCATCCCGCCGATCTACCTTGAACCATGATGCTATATATGTGATTTTTGTAGTGATTTGCAGTGCATTGAATAGTGTATAAGATATCATGTTTAATGAGAATATTGATGTGTTAAGTGTTTATATATTGGTTACAATCCTTCGAGAATATAGTTATACAGTTATAGATGCTCTTCAATTTTCTATAATCAATAGTTTTCCCGTTGCTTTCTTCAAAGTTACAGAATGTTTTTTTTTTCTTTTCCCAGTATTCACAAGTTCGATTTATGCATTAAAATCTAAAAGAATGTTTAAGTATTTTATATTCATTTCAAAAAAGAATTTTTCATAATATCTGTACTGCTCTCCAAAGATCTGAATATCAAAAAATAAATTCCTATGCATTCACACAGGAGTTATTTATATCAATTTAGCAGAAATGCTATGCTGATTATTGATGCACAAAAGTTTTAACTAGAACTGTTAAGTATTATTAAAATAGCAGCAATATACGGACTTCTTCATTAAAGAAAATAGGCTACTCTACAGGACAATCTTGCAAGATGATAATGAACCTATGAGGTTCCGAAAGACCTTGCCTGTGGAATTGGAATAACATAGAGTCAAAAAATAACCTAACCCTAGAAAAAGAAACCATTTTTTAAGTACGAGAAAAGTAACGAAGAAAACTATTGATTATAGAAAATTGCAGAATATCTAGAACTGTATGGAATTGAATTCAACAACAAAATTTGCATTAGTTTATCTTAGAATATGTCACGAACCACAATGTCTATGAGTGCCATATAATTGTATTCTTCAAGGATTATAATCAGTAACACGTTGAAATTTTCATAAAACTTGATTACGTATATGTGATTCGATACACTGCAAATTGTTTTACAAAATCACATATATGGTATCATGATTTAAGATAAGTCATTAAATACAGCGGGACCGTCTTGAATAAATGGTTTTCTATTTGATTTTTGTTTTTGTAGAGAAAGTTATCAACAATTATTATTAACACAATGGAGTCAAAAATTCAAAGAAATTTTGAAAAAAGATAATTATATACAAATGGTTATTGAAGATGAAACACAATATCAACTACTTTTAAGACAGTTTCCATTGAGAATTGAAGCAACTGAAAAGGTTTCTATTATAATAGAAGATTTGTTTTTCTGTTTAATGAAAAGAATTTGTTTTTATTTTTTAGTTACCATTCCCACGTTCATTACCATACAGTGAATCAGTACCAAAAATATTTTTAGAAATAAAAGATTTTGCAGCAGTATGTGCAAAATTTGCTAAAGGTCTTAATGTTAGGTAAATAATATAATAAAAATTTATATTTCAAGAAAATCTGTTTTCTATTTTGTATTTGTCAGTAAAACTGAAATTGATGATATGATTCGAAAACCATCAAATTTATTATTAACAAAAACTCTTAAAAGTGCATTAGTAGATTTAACAGCTGCTGAATCAGAACCACAACTTAATTTTTCACAAGTAAATTCATAACAATTTAAAAAAGAATGTATTGATTTTAATTAATTATTTCTTTTAGCTTGTTCAAATTTGTATTAATACAATACATTTAGAAAACTCAATGCCTTATTTAGAAGATTATATTGTTGCTCTAGTACAGTAAGTAATGAATTTTGATCGGATTTATTTTTCGTCATTCTTAAAGCTCTTGATTCTTATGTCACTTTATCGAGGACAAACTTTCCTTTAAACTGATGCATAACTTTTGCAGGCTTCTTTAAAGGACTGAAAAATAAATGAACTACTTTTTAATAACTCATTAGTCAACCATAAGTAAAAAAAGAATTCGATTTTGATAATTCATTGCCTTTAGCCCCTTCTATCCTTAAATCTACTGATGTAAAGTATTGTCTGAAAAACAAACTAAATCTGAATCAAATTTAGAATTCAATGCTTTAAAATATAATCATTATTATTTATTTTTTTAGTGGTAGTACAAAACAAATTGGACTTCGACTACAAGGTGCATCAATGCTTAAAGTAATTGTCGATAGAGAATTTCCAAATCTAAATAGATTTTAAATATTTTTCTTTTTCTCTATAGGATATTCGTAGTTTAGTAGAAGATCGTATTCATGATAAATTAAATGATAAAATTGATCAATGTTTAGATATTGGTAATTAAAAATACTCATTCATTTATCTTGTTCTGTGTTTTTATTAATTAAAATTAATTTTAGCTTCATATGATTGGATGATGCAAGAACCATCTGGTGTTGCTAGTGATTATATCACAACAACAATTCAATTTCTTGAACATA